TCTGGGGGCACCTGGGTGGCTCAGTCAGTTAAGCGTCCGACTTCAGCTCAGGTCACCGTCTCACGGTTTGTGAGTTCGAGCCCCGCATCAGGCTCTGTGCTGACAGCTCGGAGCCTGGAGCCTACTTTGGATTCTGTGTCTCCCTTGCTCTCTGCTCCTCCCGTGCTCATGCTCTGTCTCTCTTTGTCTCTCTCAAAAATGAATACACGTTAAAAAAGTTAAAAACAAGAAAAAGAAAAGAAAATTGATCTGGAATATAGAAGATAACTTCTATTACCCTTTCTCCTCAGTGACTTTTCACATACCATTCTCTCTGCCTAACAGGAGGCCCTCTCCATGCATCACACTATATTTTAATTAACAACACACCTATCAGTCTTCCCAAATAGACTACAGGCACTGGGTAGGCAAGGGCTATATTACAGTCACATGTAGATCTCCTGCACCCAGAAGAGGTCAAGCCTTAGAACAGTGTCTTCAAGATTGAAGCCAGACAAGACTTCCAGACTCCAGAGCTTTTCACACTCCTGTTATTTGACCGTATCTTCACCATTTCTGCAATATCTGAATGACCCTCATATCACTCTGCTAATACTTGCTTACAAGAAAAAAATAATCTCTATTGTAAACAGGAAGCCAGGTATATTTATCATAACATGAAGGTAACCGTAAAATTAAATTAACCGTAAAATTAAAGGTACCTTAAAAGGTACCTTTAAAGGTCTATTTGTTCTAGCTAAATTCAAATGTCTGTCAAAAGCTCGGAGTCTAAGATCCGACCTCTGAAGAGACCTGGGGATTAAAGAAGTGTTACATATACAAGCACCAAACTGCCAATTTCACCTCAATGCAAACTGAAAGAGAATTGAAAAGGGAGTAACTTTCTCAATACATGATTCAATATTCACTAATGTTAGGTCCATGTACCTCCTAAAAGCGCCTCAAATACCAGAAGTCCACGTCTCAACCTCTAAGAAACAGTGATTAATGAGACCACACTTGAACCTTCTATGAGCGCGAGAGGGCCGGATTCTGGAGTTACACAAAGCGATTCAAATTCCAGCCGTCACTTACTTACTAGCTGTGTGATCCTGGGCAAAGAACTTAACCTTTCTGTGTCTCGTTTTCTGTGAAATGAGAATAGGACTTCTCGCACAGTGTTTTAAACGCAGTATCTGGGGTACAGGCACATTATAAACACTAGCAACCATCGTTAGTTACTCCACTTTCAAAACCACAACAAAAAGAGCACTGAAGCACAGACTGTAGAGGCGAGCTGCCCAGGGTCCCCAGAAAACGCATGCGCCGGTCCCGCCGTCAGGACCAGAACCTCCCTGCCTCCCACGAGCTCGGACTTTTCTCTTCTTCTCCGGCCAAATGCTCACCTTCCCGCTGCCTGCCGGGCCCATGACCAGCTGCGCATACCGAGGCATACCGGCACTCCAAGTCCCGGGTGCTGCTGGCGGCTCGACACAAGGTCCCACCGCCCCGCTCCCTTCAGCCTTCGCGCGGCGCTGACTGAATTCCGGGAACACGACTTGCGAACCAATCGCAATCCAAAGTCCTTCTGTACCTTCCGCTCTGCTACATCCCTGACTACGGAGCATCCCGCAGGTCACATCTCGTGTGAAACGCGTTCTCAGGAAACTTCGGGGAGGGCGGTTCGCGTGTGCGCAGAAGTAGTTGACGGAAATAGGCGGTTGGTAGGCTCGAGACGCTTGGTTGCCTTGGTGATAACGGTTAACGGACCACACTCAGCATCCCTGAGTCTGGGGCTTTGGTCCTTGGTTTGTGTACCGAGGTTTGACCTATATGGTGACTCTCAAGATTTTCAAATTTGTAAAGGGTCTGGAATACTAAGGTGCAAGGCACCTCCTGTTTTAGGGGACATGTATATTTCCTTCTTGTGACTGATCCCTTCCACAAAAAAGATGGAAACGTGCAAGCGCGCAATCAACTAAAGAACTCCTGCCCCTCCCCCAATTTAACTCCTGCGTCGCGCATCTGCCCTCCCCGCTCTCCCGAAGCTATTCGGGCAGTGTCCGGAGCGCATCGGAGGGGGCTAGAATACCGCGTCCTCCTCTTCACCCGCGATATCGCCCGGCCTGACGCACGCGTGCTGACGGGGGAGGGGAGAGGGGAAAGCCGCTTCCGCACGCCGCTCGAGGTCCGGGCACCCGGGAGGAGATGCCGGGCCAGGGTCCGGTGTCCGACTGGACAGAATGCAGCTCTTCTGCAGAGCCTCCCGCAGTGGCCACAACCGAGGGTGGCGGCGGCGGGTGAGGCTGAGGGGCCCTGACGGGTTAGGGAGGACGGCGACCGACCCTGGGTCGTGATCCCTAGTGGAGGAGGGGGTGGGAGTTGACTGCTCCAATAGACTGGTCCCCAGTGCACTGAAGCGAGAGGAGGGAGAACCTTTGTTGAGGCCGGGGTGGAACAAATGGAAGCCGACTCACAGTTTAGGGGAAGGGCTTGTGAGATAAGGTTGAGTGTTGGTGCAATGACTAAACGCGGTGATTGCGACAATTGCCTGGGTGCATTTTTCTGCCCCGAGGGGGCGCTGCGAAACCTGCTGGAAAATATGCCGTCTGGTCACAGGATCTCTACAAAAAGAGGGGGTGGGCGATAGAGCAGAAAGGGAGGTTCAACGGAGGACTTCCAAGTCAATAAATCAGTGCCGTATGTGCGACATTAGCCACCTTCGTGTCCGAGGGATTCATAATGCCAATGAGACAGATAATTAGGGATATTAGAGGCACCTTGATCTTGATATTTTCTTCCCACATAAGTTTTTCTTCATAAATCCATTTTATTTTAAGCAGGGTGGGTTTTTTTGTTTGTTTTTTGTTTTTTCATTTTTTTTGTTTTGTTTTGTTTTTACTATTATTTACTGGATGCTGAAGACAATTAGTCTTCGGTACCTCCTCATCCCTTCCATCAGTTATTACCTAAAAGAGCTGCCGGGTGTTTCTCTCCAATTCAGCACACAGTCATGGCTCCTGACATATAAAACAAAATGACCATAATGTACTGAAGACTTTTAAAGATGTGGTCTTGTCTTTCTTTTCCGTTCATTACAGTGCTTGGCAAAGTGTGGGATCCTAAATGTATCAGGAGATAAATGAACACTTGGTCACTGAATAAACTGAAGGAAGAGACAAGGAAGGGAGTTTTGTCTTAATTTGAAAAAAGAAAAAAGAACTTGTACAAAAATAGAAATATTCCAGACCAATTTATCAGTTCCAGTACACCTTAATTACATACAGTAAAGAACAAGATAGTCTTCTCCATAGCAAGTTACTTGATTAAAAATAAAGAGAGCAAGACAATGCCACGGATAACACAGAAGCCCAAACTACTTTATTGAGCTCAAAGTAGGAATTAGATTAAAAAGGCTATAAAAGTAAGACCAAATCTGGCTTAAAGTAAATCCTTTCTAGTAAAAACCTCAGATAACTCACTTTGAAAAAGCCTGGAGCCATTAGGATATAACCAGGATTAGAGGAGAACATTTACAAGATGTTCTGTCTGATGAAAAGTAAAAAGCATACTCGATACTGCCCTTTTTTCATTTAAAATACTTTTTAGAAATACGTTTATTTATTTATTTTTGAGGCAAAGTGTGCCTGTGCGGGAGTAGGGGAGGGGCAGACAGGGAGACTGGAGACAGAAGATTCCAAGCGGGCTGGGAGCTCAAACCCACCAACGAGGAGACCATCACCTGAGCCTAAATTAAGAATGAGTTTCTCAACAGACTCAGCCACCCAGGTGTCCCTAAAATATGTGCTTTCTTTAATGTTTATAAAGCTGTCAATTATTGCATATTATTTAAATCTTTTTTTCCCCAACAGATCACCTGGACTTTCTTATTATCAGAATTCCAAAGGTATTGGTGAGTAGAGCATATACAACAGATAATACCTATAAATAACATGGTTTAGAGATGCTAATTTTGCTATAACTACAAACACAATGGAGTTTTAAAAATAGACTTTATTGGCATCCTGAACTTAAAATTTTGGGGGGTGCCTGGGTGGCTCAGTCGGTTGGGCATCCGACTTCGGCTTAGGTCATGATCTCACGGTTCGTGGGTTCGAGCCCCCCATTGGGCTCTGTGCTGACAGCTCAGAGCCTGGAGCCTGCTTCGGAGTCTGTGTCTCCCTCTCCCTCTGCCCCTCATGCTCTGTATATCTCTCCTTCAGATATAAATAAACATTAAAAAGAACAATCCAGGTTTTTTCTCTTGTTAAGATATCTAATATCAAGTATTTATTTTTTTAAAAATTGTTTTTAAGGGTTTTTAAAAATTGTTTATTTTGACAGAAGGAGTGCGCATGCACATGGGGGAGGGGCAGAGAGAGGGGTACAGAGGATCTGAAGCGGGTTTTGTGCTCACAGCAGAGAGCCTGATGCAGGGCTCAAACTCAAGAACCTTGAGGTCAATGACTGGAGCTGAAGTGGATGCTTAGGATGCTTAACCGACTGAGCCACCCAGGCGCCCCCCACATCAAGCATTTTAAAAAGAGTACTTCAAAATAGCAATGAATCTGAAAAGAATTGTGTTTATAACTGATGTTTGAAATGTCCCAGGTATGGCCTGGGGTTTATACACAAATTGAAGGGAAAAGTTCTGACTAGAATAACTTCAAAGGATGTAAAATATTTCTCATTGCTGCTATTTTCCCTCTCGCTTGAAATAAAGGATAAAACTGCTGGAATTAAGAGAGTAACACAGAACCCTAAAGGCCTCTCACTAATTTCTGGTTGCGGTGAGGGGAGCAATTTCAATCCTACGATGTATAAACTTAGATTCACTTTATTTTTCCTTGGCAATTTTATAGTCCTTACAGTTACCTCAGAAAAACACAGACATATATCAATGTATATATACATAAAAATGCATATGTACGTATAAATAAAGTGGTTGCTTTAAAATGAAATTGCTGGATCATATGGCAATTTTATATTTAATTTTTTGAGGAACCACCACACTGTTTCCACAGCCGCTGCACCATTTTACATGCTCACCAGCAATGCACAGGGTTCCAATTTCTCCACATGCTAGCTAACACTTGTTTTCATTTAAAAAAATTTTTTTAATGTTTATTTTTAAGAGAGAAAGAGGGACAGAGCTCAAGCGGACAAGGGCAGAGAGGGAGGCACAGAATCGGAATCAGGCCCCAGGCTCCGAGCTGTCAGCTCAGAGCCCAACTTGGGCTCAAACTCACGAACTGTGAGATCATGACCAGAACCGCTTAACTGACTCACCCAGGCGCTCCTGTTTTCATTTTTTCAAGTTTGTTTTTATTTATTTTGAGAGAAAGAGACAGAGAGCAAGCAGAGGAGGGGTAGAGAGAAAGGGAGACAGAATCCCAGGTTAGCTCTGTGCTGTTAGCAGAGAGCCCGATGCAGGGCTCAAACTCACGAACCATGAGATCATGACCTGAGCTAAAGTCAAGAGTTAGACACTTAACCAACTGAGCCACCCAGACACCTTCATATATTTTTTTTTTTTTTTGGTGATAATTACCCTTATGGATATGAAATGATACTTCATTGTTACTTTGTGTTTCCCTAATAGTGAGCATCTTTTCTTGTGCTTATTGGCCTTTTGTGTGTCTTATTTGGAGACATCCAGTCTATTCAAGTCCTATGCTCATTTTTCAATTGGGTGTTTGTCACTGAGTTTAACTGTTATCTTTAAATGTTTAATTTTCTGTGAAGAAATGCTACCAAGCTTTTGACAAGTTAAATGTTAGTCCAGGCTATAATACGCATCTCAGAAATAATGAATAGCAGGGACACAAAAGATATAGTCTTAGATAATTAGCCCACATTTATCACTCAAAAAAGGATTTAAAAAAAAAATAAGCTTTTATTACTATAGATTCCAAATTATATTTTAAGGGTCATAATGACATAATTTCCAGATAATTGTTTCTTTGTTGGCAAACTAGTTAGTCCTTTAGTATGCAAATATAACTTACTTATCTGCATTAACTCTCCAATTTGTCAAAATCTTTTTCTTTTTTTAAATTTTTTAGATGTTTATTTATTTTTGAGAGAGGGAGACAGAGTGCAAGCAGGGGAGGGGCAGAGTGAGAGGGAGATGCAGAATCCAAAGCCAGCTCTGGGCTCCAGGCTGTTGGCTATCAGCACAGAGCCCAACACCGGGCTTGAATCCATGAACTCTGAGATCATAACCTGAGCTGAAGTCGGATGCTTGACCAACTGAGTCACCCAGGCATCCCTGTCAAAATCTTGAAGAAATAAATAACTAAAATTTAATGTGTAAAATTGTAATGGACTTTGTTGTCAATATTGAAACAAAAGTGTGCTTATTTAATTCAACTTACTGAATATAAACTTTTAACTTAAAAATCTGTTCTGCCAGCTTTATTTGTAATAGCCTAAAACTGGAAACAACCCAAATGTCACCAACAGGTGGATAGATATATATCAAGAATAAAAAGGAATGAACTATTGTTACACATCACACAGATGGATTTCAGTATAATTATGCTGAGTGAAAGAAGCCAGACACAAACAGAATATATGCTGTATGTTTACATTTATATCAAACTCAAGAAAATGCAAACTACTCTATAGTGATACTAACTGTAGTGATAGAAAGCACATTACTGGTTGCCTGGAGCGGGAGAGTGTGTGGGGACTTAGCGAGTGTTTCAAAAAGTTATTTCCTGGTTAAATTTCACCAGATACTGTTTTCCCCCAAACTGTTAATGAAGTTTTTACCCTAGATTAAGTTACTGATCTCAATATGTCTGAAACTGAAAACTAGTTTCATTCTTCTAGATATGTCTCAAATTGCATTTTGTATTAAAAGACTATTAGTCTACCCACATCGGTATTAAAAACATAAAATAACAGAAATTATGTAAAAATAAGTTTTAGTAAATTTCTGCAAAGCCCTTTGTGTTTTAACACTGCCTCATTAAAGGTATAAAATTTGTGTTATTCTATCTTCTATCTTCAGTTTAATACTAACATACTAAAATCAAATGAATGATAAAATATTGTAAATATTTAAAGTGCAAGTCTTGCATGCATATTCTTGTCTAGTATAGTTTGACATATGATAAACTAAACAACATAGTTTGCATCTCACCTGAGTTCAAAATAATGTAGTCTATATATAATTATATATATATATATATATATATAGAGAGAGAGAGAGAGAGAGATAATATTTGTAAATATCTTAGACTTTTGTATGCTCTAAAACCAAATGGCATATCATACAGCCTCTTGAACTTTAACAGAGTGACTCGTATTCCTACTGCAGGGTAGTCAGGGACATGTGTAAATATATAGATATTAATAATTAATTTATTGAGTACATCTTTGCTCATGAAATTCACCTAATAATGTCCTGCCCACAGACAGAATCAAAGATGGACCCAACACACACATAGCCAAGCTGCAAGAGTTATGGAAAACTCCTCAAATTCAAGCAATTAACATCCCTAAATCAATGACAGATGCATCTTTTCTAAAGGTATGCTAACTAAATACCAATGCTTTATTTAAATGCCAAATTCTTTGTATTCAGAGCTGAACTTTTTATTGGAGATCTGCTGCTTAGAGGGTAAGGCACTTGAGAAGACCAGGTACACCCAGCATATTGTCTAGGACTCCATAAATATCTGTGGAGTAAACTCAGGAATGTATGCAAGGATTTTATCATTATAGATTTCTCATCATAAGAGTTCATTTAGGGCTTCATGATACTTGACATCTAATGTACCTTCACTCAGAAAGCTTAATGGCCCTGAGGAAAGTTACATTCCAGAGATGGAAACCCAAACTCCTAGATTTCACTGAAGGACTGAAAAATTAGAGGCAAGCTAATAAAGAAAATGGCAATAAGCATTTTATAACTGTTGAACCTCTATTACCTATTAAAGGTCATATCTGCCAGATGTGTCCCTGTTAGAGGAAAGCAAATTAAGGTTACAAAAGATCTGTGCAAATTGGTCAGATTTTTTTGACCAGCATTTTGAGTTTTCACTGAATTTATTACCTGTTCAGTTCAGTAAATCCCGTGTGTGTATACACACATACAGACACAGTGTAGCCTTGCATTTTAAGTGAGTGTTACCTTCTAAAATCAGCAAGTGAAAATCTTAAGTCAAAATTACTTTCATCAAAGACCGATAGACTATTCCCCAGTTTGTTCAACACAGTTATTCTTCTGGTGCTAGAAAAGACTATTTCTTTAGTTAAGACTAAGCAGAGTAGTTGAGTAGTTGAGATAACCACATGATACCTCAAAAATATTTGGAAGATGCCCACATTCACTGAGAGGCACACAGGAACTAAGTCTCACTGACAGAACAGCGAATCTCTACTCTCCTTTTTTTTTTCCTTTTTAAACGTTTATTCATGTTTTGATAGAGACAGAGCGTGAGTGGGGGAGGGGCAGAGAGGGAGGGAGACACAGAATCAAGAGGGAAGCTCCAGGCTCTGAACTGACAGCGGGGCTTGAGCTCACAGACTGTGAGATCAACCTGAGCCGAAGTAGGACACTTAACCGAATGAGCCACCCAGGTGCCCCAACTCTCCTTATTCTTCTAGATCACTGGTTCTCAAACTTCATTGGGCATTTGAATCACTTGAGTGCAAACAGGAGGCAGGGTCACTTGTACTGTTTAAATGGCCATTTCTTTCTTTTCTTTCTTTCTCTTTTTGGACAAATTAGGATAGTTGAATTGGAATAAATAAAAATACAGATGGTTCAGCTGTCCTGAACATTCAGCCTTTCAGATAAAGAATCTTGGCAACCTCTGTTCTACAATGCCTATAAACCTTGTTTGTATTTTAGCAGCCAGACCTCACCTTAGGCCAGAAGCGTTATCTGTGCAGCATTGCTAAGATCTATAATGCAAACTACCTGCGGATATTAATGAAGAAGCAGTATATGCATGTGATCCAGCGCAACTCACAAAAGCCAGGCAGGTGCACCTCATTCGTTTCTCACTAGTTCTGGCAAGAAACAAGAGGGCCTTCTAACAGAGCTGGTCTGTATGACAGGTATCTTCACTCATCACAGAAGCCGCCTCAGTTCTCGTCACTCACAAAAGCAGCATTACCCCTGCACCACATGGCGACACCAGTTGGAGAGAGTGGACTTGGGGCCTTCTAACATCGCAGCTGCACCTGCACCTGAAATGATCCTGCAACATTCACTCTGGCGACCAGTGAGAAACAAAGAAGGGTCTGTTTCTTATTGTTTAAAAGGAGGAAAATATATCCCAATTTTATCTGAAGGGTAGCTAAATGAGATGAAAGCTTGTTTCCTAATATGTTCATTTTGCTACATTCAGAGTAGGTTAGACAAAAAGCACAAAAGGATGTTATCTTATGGTCTCTTTACTGATCTGACTGGAATATGCCACTCCTTGTAGAACATCTTTTGTGGAACTGTAAAAATTTCTTGATCAGCTAGAAATATGGAAGACTGCCCTTTTTAGTAATTCCCACTCAAATTTAAAATAATACAAACACTTCCAAAAGGAGCATATGGTTGCTTCTGCACAGGGGACTACTATAAACAAAAAAGGAAAGAAAAAAGAAAATAAGCCTGATTATTCAACCTGTACTACAATAGTGAGCTTTGCATTTCAGGGTTAATAAGTCACAGGAGAATTCAGAGATTGAAAGAGTCTTTTTGGTGATACTGGCAGCTTAATAAAAAGAATTTGTATGGTCTTCTACATGCATTAGACAGTTGTTCATTTCACTGGCTCCAATTAAGATACTTCTCTTTCTTACAGTTTAAAAACTGGATATGCATCCAAAACAAGATGTAAGTCACTGAAGATTTTTAGAAAACCAGGCAGACTGTTCATGCAATCAGGTAAATGTGGATTTTTTTTTTAATGTTTATTTTTGAGAGAGAAAGAGAGCATGAGTGGAGGAGGAGCAGAGAGAGGGAGACAGAACTCGGAGCAGGCTCCAGGCTCTGAGCTGTCAGCACAGAGCCTGACACAGGGCTCAAACTCACAGACCGCGAGATCATGACCTGAGCCAAAGTCGGACGCTTAATTGACTGAGCCACCCAGGTGCCCCCCCCCCCTTTTTAAACATGGAATTTTAAAATAGCATTTTTTTTTTTATTTTTTAATTTTTTTTCAACGCTTATTTATTTTTTGGGACAGAGAGAGACAGAGCATGAATGGGGGAGGGGCAGAGAGAGAGGGAGACACAGAATCGGAAACAGGCTCCAGGCTCTGAGCCATCAGCCCAGAGCCCGATGCAGGGCTCGAACTCACGGTCCGCGAGATCGTGACCTGGCTGAAGTCGGACGCTTAACCGACTGCGCCACCCAGGCGCCCCTAAAATAGCATTTTTAAAGATCTTATGTTAAAAAATACATTTTTTAAATGTTTATTTTTGAGAGGGAGAGTGTGAGCAGGGGAGGGGCAGAGACAGACAGGGACAGAGGATCTGAAGCAGACTGCACCAACAGCAGAGAGCCAGATGCAGGACTTTCATGAACCAGAGATCATGACCTGAGCCAAAATCAGATGCTCAACAGACTTAGCCACCCAGGTGCCCCGTGCTTAAAAAATATTAACCCAATATAGTGTCATTTCTATTACAGAAGACATTAAAAATATAGAATATTATTTGCTTTTAATTCTCCAAGTAAAATAAATATGAAATATAGTTTCTGCGTTTATCTAAATGGACATGCTGCTGAGGGGAGTAAAATTCAAGGCACTTCTAATTCTAAACAAAGGTATTCATAATATCACAGTCGGAGACTTAACAGAGAATGAATTTCTGAGAACTCACAGCCACAAACATGAGTTTTTTAAGCCATAGCATTTTTATGAGATAGTGTCATTTTTGGACAGACAACATATTTTATATAGCATCATAGTTTACAAAGGGCTGTATCACCTATATCATTTTGTTTAATATTCAACAACCCAGTGGAAGCAAGCCAACCAAGTGGTATTATCACAATTTTGTGGGGCAACTCAGAAAAATCTAGACTTGGTAAGAATCAGCATAAAGGATCCTTCTATCACAAGTACAGAATACCACAAAATGAAAAAGGCAAAAGAGGAAGAAAGACAGAATGCTCAGAAGTATTCCTCAGAATTGATAACGTGGAGAGGACTAAGTGGAAGTTAAACAATTTCCTAGTTGCTACACAATGAGTAGAGAAGTGGGTAGGAAGGAAGTGGGGAAGTTAGGCCTTCTGAACTCCTGGCTCCTTGCTGTATGACAGTGCTGCTCAGCTCTGCTTAAATACCATAGTATACCTGTCCGAGAAATGAGGGAAATGGCAGGGGTTTAAAAAGTAAGTCTAGGTCCAGAAAGAATAGCTGGGTGAACTGCAGTGCAGATAGGGGGAAAGTGTCTGTGGTCACCAATGGAAGGGAGATGGGCAAGGACTTCAGGCTTACTGAGATGAGACTGCTGAAGCTGTAACTTTCGCATAACCAAGAGATTTTGAAAGCAAAGAGAAAACAAGACTCAGTAACAGAGAATTTGCTATAAGTTGGCCTGAATACAGTACTTACTACGACTCTTACTTTACAAAGTTAAGACATTTGGGGGAAGGGAGAAGTGATTAAGTTTTGAAAATTGCAGGCCATTTATTTCTGCGAAAGGTTATTACTAAGGTAGGTCATTTTGAAGGTTGTTCTTATGTACAGATCTCAATATTCAGGATGAAATACAACTTTATTTCCAAAACAGATATTATAAACTTATTTTCCTTTCAGTTTCTACAAATGATTCTGAATCATACATGAATGAAGAAAAAAAGGAAGAAGATTTACTAAATAAGTATATGCAGTCAATGTCAATTGAAGAACAAGAACATGTGATGTTAACTTGACAATCTTGTCTTGTGAGTCAATGAGGTGCCAAAGGTGGGGGGTTGGGGTTGTGAATTGTGTCCTCTCTCTACATTTAGGATAGTATTGTTATTCACCAGTAAGTCATTAAGTAATTTTAGTTTGTTCAGAAACTTTTACAACAGTGTAATTGGTTTGATGTAGTTCCATGTGCTAATTGATACTTGTGTAATAAAATTTATGTGTAATATTTGCTTGTATTTCTAGCTAGATACAATTAAAAATTTTCTTGTGGCTTAAAATTGAATTATTTTTCTTTAACCCTGAGAGGTAAATTGTATAATTATTTTTCTGCTTACAGTAAGTCCTAAAACAGCAACATTGGAATTCCCTACAAATTATTTTCTTGACTGGGCTAAGGAAAGCCCTGAAATATCCTGATACAGAACAGCACTTGATAGACATAGCACCCTGATTTGTAAAGAAGGTGCTTAATAAATATTTGCTGCTTGAAAACAACTTAAAAATATCAATTTGCCCTATTTTATGAAAATTGCCACACAAACACGTGGCCTCTCAAGCTAGAGTTGGGAGTAACTGTACTAATCAGAGGATTCTTTACATTATGTATTCACTCTAGTGTGCTTCCGGAATTTCTAAACATTACTGTTTAAAAAAATACGTATACACACATACACATAAACACACAGTTAAAACTTGAAAAATAGGAATAGGGCAATTTAAAGCAACAGTTTGAGGAATTATTGCTGATTTAATGTCAATATAGTATATCTTTGGAAAATCAAATCTGAGCCCAACATTATGACCCAGAATGTTGTAAGAAATGAGAGCACCCTGAAAGGTCACTCCATCTACCTCATCACTTTAATGCCTAGGTGCATTTAATTTCCTTTTATTTTTTATTTAAAATAATTTTTAACTTTATTATTTTTTAATGTTTTATTTATTTTTGACATAGAGAGACAGAGCATGAGCAGGGGAGGGGCAGAGAGAGAGGGAGACACAGAACCCAAAGCAGGCTCCAGGCTCTGAGCTGTCAGCACAGAGCCCGATGTGGGGCTTGAACCCATGGACTGTGAGATCATGACCTGAGCTGAAGTTAGACGCTCAACTGACTGAGCCACCCAAGGTGCCCCAAGAATTTTTAACTTTAAAAAAAATGTGTATTTATTTTTGAGAGAGAGAGAGCGGGGAAGGGGCAGAAAGAGAGAGACTGAGGAACTGAAGTGGGTTCCACACGGACAGCAGAGAGCCCAATGCGGGGCTCAAACCCATGAACCACAAGATCATGATCTGAGCCAAAGTTGGGTGCTTAACCGACTGAGCCACCCAGGAGCCTATTTTATTTCTTTCTTTTAAAGTTTATTTATTTTGAGAGAGAGAGAGAGAGAGAGAGAGAGCGCACACACAGGTGCAGGGGAGAGGTGGGGGGGGGGGGGGGTGGGCAAGAATCCCAAACAGGCTCTGCCTTGTCAGCACAGATCTCACAAACTGTGAGATCATGACCCAAGCCAAAATTAAGAGTTGGATGCTTGACCAGCCAGTTACCCCTTTTATGATTTTAAAAAATTAAAACAAGTTTACCAAGAAAGTATAAATGAAAGGTTAATTGTTTATTAGTGAAGAGAAAAATGTATACAAGAAAGTCTAGATTCTTTTTCCTCATGCACTACTTTTGTAATAAAGTTCCAAATATCAACTTTGAAGATATTTACAAGGATAAATTTTTCTTAACACGTGACCATTTACTGGGTGGTGGACATTTTTTCATATAAATCATATATGGGAACGGAATATATTCTTAACAGTTTATAAGAAGCTTGGAACACTGTATTAACAGAAGATATTATATTTTACTGCAAAATATTATAAAAGTGATACAATTCTGTGGCTCATAAATGTTTAATTACTTGATTTGAACAGGGAATGAAAAAAAAAACCAGCAAGATAGGCCTGGCTTTTAAGATTTTTTGTATTCAATTCGTTCTACTTTCACATCATCTCCAATTAGCTGATACACATAAGTGACAACTGTAGAAGCCTGGATATCCATCAACACAAATGAAGGAATAATGTTTCTGAAAGAAAATATAAATAATGTCAGTGTTTTGTACTAAAAAGCACCTCACTAAAAATTTCAATTTACAATGACAATTTGGATTCAAGGAGAATTCGAGTTGTTACGTATTAAAAAGAATAATCACCCAAAGAAGAATGCCAAAAAGGCTATCACTGAAATGGCTGCATTTCTCCTTTATGAAACACGACACATGCAATTATTAACTTTAAAAAATCCCCAAATTCCTACTCACGTTTCCAAGGCATTATATGCTCCAGTGGCAGAACCTGGATTAATGTAAAATTTATTTTCATGCTCAAATGCTTCAAATTTGTGTGTGTGTCCCGAGATAAGAATGTCCACATCAAACTGCCTCTGCAACAGGGCTAAGCTGGCCATGTCTCCCCAAGGAATAACTTGATGCCCATGGATCAAACCAATTTTGAACTGCCCAACAGTCACAACTTTCTGTTCTGGATAATTCAGATTCTAAGATAAGAAACAGACATGAAAACATATATATATTTCAGAGATACTTATGTTTAAAAAACAACCTGCTTAAACATTCAATCCCATATGGATGTTTTGATACAGTGCTCCACAACCAATACATTTATTAAATATATACATATTTTTAAAAATTTTTTTAATGTTTATTTTTGAGAGAGAAAGAGAGTGTGAGAAGGGGACAGTCAGAGAGAAAGGGAGACACAGAATCCAAAGCAGGCTCCAGGCTCTGAGCTGTCAGCACAGAGCCCAATACGGGGCTTGAACTCACGGACCACTAGATCATGACCTGAGCCAAAGTCAGACACCCAACCAACTGAGCCACCCAGGCACCCCTATTAAATATATATTTTTAAATGTTTATTTATTTCTGAGAGAGAGAGCACAACCAGGGGAGGGACAGAGAGGGAGACACAGAATCCCAAGCAGGCTCCAGACTCTGAGCTGTCAGCACAGAGCCCTATGCAGGGCTCAAACTCATGAGCTATGAGATCATAACCTGAGCCAAAGTTAGATGCTTAACCGACTGAGCCACCCAGGCACCCCCCATTTGTTAAATACTTGATTATTTCTCAGTCTCTAAGGCTACAACTATGCTCAAAACATAACTTACTCCAGGTAAACTGGAATTTATCATGCAATCCCTTTCTTGTGTTTTTTTGTTTTTTTTTTTTTTGTAGAATATAGGTTCTTTGGGGCATGCTGTGGAGAATAATTACTCCCCCAAATTTGTGAGTTTCCTCTACCTAAGAATTCTAGGCATACGACCTATAAGCTAGGTGTGTTCAAATTATATCCCAGGCTTTAATAATTATATAGATGGTTTCAAATAATAATGATAGTTAGCACTTATTCAGTACTTAGTATGAAGCAGGCACTATCCCAAGGGCTTTATAAATATCAACCTATTTAATACTTACAAACAATCCTAAAAGGTAGCTTCTGTTATGACCCCCATTTTATGGATGAGGAAACTGAGGCACAGAGAGGTTAAAATAACTTGCTTAAGGTCACACCTTAGTAATAAGTGGTTGAGCCAAGATCTAAACCCTGGTAGTATGGCTCCACGGTCTGTGAATTTAGCAATCAAGCAAAAAATTTTAATTCTTGCTACTGAAACTCTTTAGCATAACACAAGCAGAAACCCAAATATGTTTTTAACAAACCAAACCTATATTCTAATTATTGACAAGAAGTCTGTGCCTGCCTTCTCATCTCCCTGTCTTTTGCTCTCAGGTGGGAAGTTACCCGAAATCTTTTTTTATTTTATTTTTTAAAGTTATTTATTTTGAGAGAGGGGGGAGAGAACGTGTGCAAAGGAGGGACGGAGGGAGACAGAATCCCAAACAGGCTCCTCACTGTCAGTGCAGAGCCTGATGCAGGGCTCAAACTCATGAACAACAAGATCATGACCTGAGCTGAAACCCAACAGTCAGAAGCTAAACTGACTGAACCACCCAGGTATCCCTGAACTCTTTTTTTTTTTGTATCCACTAAAAAAAGAAAAAGACACTATACTTACTCAGTTTGATATAAAGGAATCCCATTAAACAGTACCAATTAAGTTAATTTATGAAAAAGCTTATATTCCCAGAAATAAAAGGCAATTTTTTACACTAGTATCAGATTTACCATGCTAAATCATACAGTGTTAGTATGAGTACAGGCCTTAAAAATCATCTATTCCAATCATTTATGTGAGAGGAAACTAAGAGGATGTAATTTGCCTAAAATCTCATTATTAACTAATGGGCAAAGCTGGAATCCCAGAACTTCTAACTTTTTTCCTTAAAGTCAGGTTTATTGAGGTATAATTCACATACAGTAAATTTACCCTTTTTAGTGTACAATTCAAGGGTTTTTGACAAATATAGTCATGTAAGCTCTACCACAATCAAACCCAGAGCAGTTCTATCAAGTCCTCAAAACTTCCCCATGCCCCTTTATTGTCAACGCTGGAGTTAGGGAGCCACAGCAGGGTTTTCAGCAGAGTGGTGATGTGATGTTACTTCGCCTAAAAAGGATCACACTGGTTGCTACTTAGAGAACAAATTGTGGAGGAAGGAAGGGTAGAATGAGAAAGCTGGAATTTAAGAGTGATATGGTGGCTTGGAACAGGGTAGTAGAGGTGGTGGTGAGAAGTAATAAAAACTTTATAGGGCTCCTGGGTGTCTCAGTCAGTTAAGCATCTGACTTCAAGATCTCACAGTTTGTGAGTTCGAGCTCCTCATCGGGTTCTGTGTTGACAGCTAGGAGCCTGGAGCCTGCTTCTCTCTCTCTCTGCCCCTCCTCTGCTCGCACTCTCTCTCAAAAATAATAAACACTAAAAAAATTAAAAAAAAAACTTTATAAACTAAATGATATCACTACAAAAAATAGCAACACAATCACTTTTAGTCCATATCAATTTAGTCAGAACAAGTATTTAATATGCTTATTGAGTAATCTACCAGT